CCACTTGTTATTACCAAACAATTCACAATTGAAATTCCTGTCTGATGTCATTTTTTTTTTTTGAATATCTCAAATATTGTTCACCAGAATACATTTGTTTCCCCATTTTCAAGCCTTAATATTTTTAATACCATTCATGTCATTTGGGTAAATTGATGGTATAGAGCACACCTCATATATGGGAATCTGTGTAACAAATTTCAACCCCCTCTTTAAAACCTTTCTGTCTACAGGGTTTCTAAAACACTAGTGCAGGCTGTACTATCAGATTTTCAAGCAAATGCAAGAATTTAATGTTGAACTTCAGCTACATTTTTGAAATTCCACATTCATTAAATCATAGTAGCAGATATTTGGCCTAAAAATGTGATTGACATAATTTAAGCAGCTCACTAGGTATACCCGTTTAAAGATGGCTCCACAGAAACCTATCTTCATCACAATATGTTAGTTTACTTATTGAAAAACAACAGTAATCTGGGAGTTCTTCTACTAAGAAGTATAGATATCATCACCCAAGATCCCGCTGCTCCCCCATGGAAAGGTGGTTAGGCTGAAGGAACTTGGTCCGTTCACATGAATTGACCCTTATCTAATTCAGGGTCATGTCCCAGAGCCATAATGGGATGAAATGTGTGGTACACCTATGGCCAATTAACCTAACAGGCATGTCTTGACTCTGGTAGGAAGCCAGAGTAGAGTGAACCCACCCAGCTGCAGACAGAACATGGAAACTTTGAACCAAGAAATTTCTTCCTGTGAAGTGACAGTGCCAAGTTACTGAATATTAATGCCAGAGAGAAAAATACAAGAAGAAGGAATCCGGTCTCTCTCATTTTGGTGCCAGAGAGCTGTTGAGCAAGAAAAGTAGGAACACAGAATACAGACTAACACAAATAGCTTGGGATGAATAGAGAGCCAGTTCCATCAGAAACAAACTGACCAATCCACTGAATCGTAACCCTCCTTTTTAACAATGCGGCCATTTTTTTCCCTGACAGTGATGCATTACAAAACAGTGACGTCAAACTCAGGGCAGTGTACACTATTGCACATACTTTATTTTATTTCTGCTGTTTCTACGCCGTGGTGTGAAATAGAGATGATACAGCAGCTGTGCTGATGCTGAAGAGCATGTAACAATGCACTGAAACCAAATCCAGTCTTATCACGGTGCATCTCAAAGATTACAATGGTGTAATATCCTTTTGCAACCAATAATTAAATACACTTTTTTTTTTTACTAAAAAACTTTCACCCTGATGCACAACTCATAAGGTCAAGGGATCATCAGCGCACACTGGTTCACTTTGAGGCAAACAACAGTAACAATAAAAAGCAGTGAACCATTAAACCAGGTGGGGTTGGGTTAAACTGTAAAGCAATGTGTTTACCGTGTACAGTTTGAAGCCATCCAACCTTAACTTTTCTTCTTTTGACTATAAACAAACTCATTATTGATAAATATTACAGCGTCAGTGGGGGAAAGAAGCCATCTGAGCCGCAGAGAAGACTGAGTTTTATTCGCGTTTATCCATCTCAGTCAAAGAAGAAAAGGGACAAGGAAACCTTTATGAATTACTCCATTGATTTCGAGGGTTAAATAAAATATCAGTTATGTTAAACGACACTTACGAGTCTCCAGCGTATTGCTGGGCTCCTCCTGTGAATCCGTACTTGTCCACCTGGGTCTCTCCGGGGACGACATTGCCGTTTACCTCTGGGTCTAACCCGTGCGAGGAGCCCGTTCCATTTTCTGTCAGCTTCTCTGGGTTGTCTCGCAAATTAAGTCCATTGCTCAGCTCCGTTCTGGCCATTGAGCCAACATTTATCTTAGCGTAAGCCGCCTACAGGGTCTTCAGAAGAAAAGCTGCCACTTTAATGCCGTCCATGGGAGCCGCCTGCTAGCTACGGTTGCTACTGAGATAGCTGCTAGCTCGCTAACGCTACAACAGCCACTTGAGTTTTTTTTTTATGTACATCCCCCTCTCCTCCACATAATTAACGCTCCACTCACACTCTAAATCGCACCTCGATGACTGCTTAATTAGCAGCAAAGTATCTGTTTGCTAATCGCCCAAAGTTACTGTGCTAGCATCACACAACTGTCAGCTGACACACACCTAGTTTCTGTGCTGTCAGCAGGAATGTGAGTTAGCTGCTGGCTACAAGGAAGAGAAAAGCTGTCTTGCCCCGAAGAGCGTAGTAAACAAAACATCCATGGAATCTTGTGACTCCCTGTTGCCACCTAATGCTGGAAATCACACATGCAGGTACGGTTAGCAATTTCACTTCACTGACAATCACCACAGGAAGTTATTTTTCTGCAACCAGCATAGAGTTATATCTGATCTTAATTACAAGTGAGGTGACATTGTCTTTCAAATAGTTAAGACAGAACTTGTATTGTAATAACTGCATTGCACTGAAGCAGCAAAATCTTAGTTGATGCAGAATACGGAGTAAAATAGCAGACATGCAAAAACGCCCTGCATTCACATCTTTAATCATTCACTTCTGCAAAAGTCACGAGTCATCCCTCATTTCTTCATATTTTGCTTTCAAGGAGTCAGACTTGAGCAATAGTTCTCTGGGCTTTCTGAAAGTCTTCCAAAGATAGCGGCTCCTTTTTGATTCAATTCCAGAGTGAAAACGTTTGTTTGTTTGTCAAACCACTTTACTGTAACCTATGAATATTTCAAGAATAAAAGAGTTAGGTGTGTATTTTATGTTTGCACATAGAAAGGAATTTAACTCAAGGGATGAACAGGATAAGACAATATTAAAAAAATGTAAAATTGTATACTTATCTACTTTGTTATTAGGGAAATGTAATTTGTTCCAATTTCTAGAGATGAATCTATGAAAAATGAAAGAAATAACACAGTGTGACAGGCATAAAACAGTATTTTGGGATCGACAAGGTGATTCCTGAAGCGATATTAGTTGAAAACATGGCATAAATCAGCATGGTGCTTAAAGTGTTCTTAAACAATAGGGGCAAAAATAAAGATGCGTCAGGCCTAAAAACTATCTACAGCAGATGAATAGTAAAAGATGAAGATGAAAGATGAAATTAATATCCTTAAAAAACAGGAAAGAAATCCAGCAAAGATCTGACATAGGACCTGAGAAATGCATCTGAGCCCTTAGTTGAGCCATCTGCTGTTCACTGAAGCCTCTTCGGAAATGGTCTCAGTGGAAGGATGACTGTCAAGAAGCCAATTCTTAAGAAGAGAAACAGAGAAGGGGGAGGTATGCCATATTACACAAGAACTGGACTGAATCTGTAGCAACAGGTCACTGTCTGTGTGTATGTGGGAGGTGACTGTCTATAGGTTTGGGACTGAATTTCAGTCAGTCAGAATCGATGGAATTAATAACCATCAGATTTGTATCCACCAGGCTGTACCATAGTGGATCAATCACACCACCAATGCAGTAAAATCATACCTGGCTAGAAAAACACACAAAGGACACCTATAAGTCACAAACAGATAAGCTGTGGCATTCAAATGACGCTCAGTTGGTACTAAGGAGCCCAAAGTGTGTCACTAAAATACCCCCCTGCACAATGTGTTATACATTCATATGTGTTCTCATACATAATACACTTGTTGACATGCAGTATCTTTTTTTTTTTT